AAGTGAAAATCGTCTTCTTTCTAAATTGTCTGGAAAATCAATTTCAATCTTTTTAAAACCACGTTTAACAATGTCACACCTCTGTACGTTAAAAACATTATCAGGCAACTCAGAAGGATCATCACTGAGAAAAATAGGCGGAATTATTATGCCATTTAATGTAGACTCACATATCAACCTACCTGACTCTAGTATTCAAATAATGACAATCAGAATTATTTGTAGTTTCTGTTGGTGTCGATACACTTCCAGGCTAAACTGCTGGTTTCAAAAAATGTGTTAGTTTGGGGTATTTTGTGATTTCCTCCCTGGTTGCAGCATTTTCTCTTCTCTTAGTGGCACCACTTTTCAACTTTTCCATACCAATATTTATATCGTGAAAAACTAACGAAAGATAAATATAAATTTTTGCAAACCTTCTTTCATTGTTTGTTTTTTATGATATAAAAAACTAACAACGCATAATAATAATAATAATAATAATAATAATAATAATAATAATAATAATAATAATAATAATAATAATAATAATAATAATAATAATAATAATAGTAATAAAATCAAGTCGAAGTTGCAAACGCATAAAAATAATACATTAAAATAACGCATAAAAATAATACAGCTTGCGTTTTATAATATAATTCGGACCTCGGGAGTGTTAATTCTTTTTTTTTTTTTTGCATTAAAATTTTTATTGCTTTTTTTACGCTTGCATAATTTAGGAAATATCGTGATTAAAAGGCTAAGTTTTTTTTATTAATAGCAACAGTAACTATATATATTTAAATATTTTTTTTATAAAAAATAACAATTTTTTTTTTAAACTTTTAAAAAGGGCCCCTAAAAATGCTGCCTACCCCCCAGTCGGGGTGTGGTGGAGCCACGGTTCTGGGATCAACGTCGTATTTGCATTGAAGAAAATAGCCGACGTTTGCGATGTATTTACATACGTTGGCCCAACGAAATTATGCTAGCTGGGATGTTTACTCCACTGCGCTTATCCCTATTAACGTCATTTAATGTATATACAATAGGTGAACCTGTTGTCCCTTTGACCCCTTTTTGCTTTAAGGCGTTTTTTGCGTAGTCTTTTGAGTAAACTTAAACCATTCAAACTATATAGTATTCTCTCATATTTTGCCCAAAAATTATACTTAGGACTTTTTTTCATTCGACCAAAAAGTATCTTTTTCCGGCGTTTAAAAAAAAGAAGTCTATTGGTCAAAGGTACAACACATACCTTGTACCTTTGACCGAAGCGCGTTGTTCTTTTGACCAAAATGTTATTATTAAAAAATCATGCAATGTTATTATATAGCAACTTCTGGCCTACCTTATATCAATAAAAAAACAAATCTTATTATTTTGTAATCAATCCTAAAATTGTCTAAAAAAAATTAGAAAAAATACAATCTTGCAAAAACTTGTGTATCGAAGTTACGATACTCAGTCAGTATTACTAATAGTGTTACTAATTTTTTAAATAAAATCAGTTATTATAACTATTTAGATAAAGTCACATATTTTCTTTAGTTTGATGCTACTTCCTTGAAATAATTAGGGTTAAGGTTCAAAACTTTAAATGCTATTTAGTTGTACAAAATATGTTTTTTAATATCTACAGTTATTTTTATTATTTTAGATAAGAAAAGAGCAAAAATATATTTTTATAACTTATATCAGCTGGCGGTCTATATTCATTTACATATGATAATAATGCTTTTTAAAGGAAATATTTTGATGAAGACAACAACAAAAAAAAACAATAATAAAAGAGTATAATGTATTAATTATTACAAACAGTCAGATCAACATCAAACATAAGATATTGACGTTTAGATGAACCACCACCAATACTTGGTGGTAGAAGTTTCATAATAATATCTTCAAGTTCCACTTCATCAGAGCTTTCATTATTTGAACACGTGTCCGACTGACTAAAAATAATCTGTTTTGCCATTTTTTTTCTTTTGCTTGAAGAGCACTTTTTAAATTGTTGGTTATTAGATTTTAAATCTAAAATAACTTTAGTTTCAGGTGTATCAGTTTAAATACGTGATTTTCCGTTACGTCTTTTTGAAGTATTTGTTTTTCTTAATTTGGCTTTAGGATGAAGTCATATCATCTCAGGTGAAACAATAAATGATTTTGATGGTAAACTCACAGTAGGGATTTCCCCTAAAACAATAGATGATGTTGATGGTAAGCTGGATTGAGCAGTTTTAACATCAATACTTTCATTAGAAATGCAAGCTTCAGTATTCACTATTGGTCTATCAGTAACATTTGCAACTAAAAGGTCAATGTCAGTAAAAATATTTTCATTAAATAGATAAAATCCAGTACATTTAAAAATGTTTATAACATTATTTAGTACAAAAGGTAACTGGTTTACCAGCATTATCTGGTGATGTCATCCAGTTATTCATGGCATTGTTATAAAAAGTTTTAAATGGTCAAAAAACACCAAGATCAAGAGGTTGCATTTTATGGGTTGTGTGAGGATGAAATGTCATTGAAACTATGCCCGATTTTTTTGCTAACTCAATAACAGAAATTTTAACATGACTCTCATGATTATCCATTAATAAAAGAACAGGTTTTTCAATTGATGGTTGTACATTACTAATAAAATGTTCACAAAATTGCAGAAAAATGACTTCATTTGATCATCCGGACTTATTAGCCGCTCCTACACTTCCAGCAGGACAATTATTTAACATGTGGTCTTTAAATTTAGCACTTGGAAATACAAGTAATGGTGGGATACCATTTCCAGTAGCATTAATGGCTACAATCATTGTTACGTTATTGACTCATTTAGCAATAAGTCATGCTCCCTATTTGTTTTTTGCCTTTTGGAGCTAGAATTTTTGGTAGTTCGCGAACTGTGGTAATTCCTGTTTCATCACAGTTCCAAATATTTAATGGATCAAAATAATAACGTTCTAAAACATTTTTGTAATTTTTATATACAATTTTTACAGTTTCTCTATTGAATGCAAAAGATCTACCAAGACTTATAGGTTGTTTACGTAGAGATAGCTTGCTATTATATCTTTTGCGAAAATCTCGTAGTCATTGTTCACATGCACATTTATTTTTTATCCATGAAGTTTCAACTTTTTTATGATTTTCTAAAGCATACTCATATGCAAAGGACCTTATCTGCTTTAATGCAAGTCCATATTGCATATTTGCAGCATCTGCCAAGTAGTTTACCTATATTAATTCTTCTTCTGTTGATATTTTTTTTTGTTTGGCATGTGAATATAAGTAATCGCAACTACCAGATATTTTAAACTGCTTTAAATTATTAAAGTTGATTTTTTAATGTTGCAATGTCTTGCAGCTTCACTTAAATTCATTTTTTGTTGAAGCACAAAACTCACAGCATTAAGCATATCCGTTTCGGAAATCTTTTTGCGAAAAACACCAACCTTGCTCCTTGGCATTTTAGGACTAAAATATATTAATAGAATTAACTAACTATTTTTATACATTTAATTCCTTATAGCTGTGTAGAAATTAGGTAATAAAATGACCTTGATAATAAAATTGCTTCAGCTATCCAACTTACTAAATTAACAAAATTGATTATTCTAAGTTAGAATTAGTCCAAGAATAAATTTGTTAATTGCATTAAAATTCAATAGAATTATTTCATTGCCATAATACTAGAAACAATTTTGCATTAAAAAGCAATAGAGCACAGACGCCTAATGAAGTAGATATAAATTTTATAAATTTGCGCTCTTAAAGTCCGCAAATTAACGAAGAATCAGTTTTTGACGGTCAAAAGTACAACGTCCTAGTCTGGTCAAAGGTACACGAGATGGATTTCTTCAACAATTATTGTCTTAATCCCCATTTACGGTCAGACATAACCATTCAAACTTTTCCATAACAAAAAAATGATATTCGGTAATGTTTATAATGTCGTAGATGAATCAAACAACAATTTATCACATTTTTAAAATCAGAATAAGATTAACACAAATATTTACTTTTTAAGAGCCAAAACTTATAATTACTTGTGGATCAATACTATCTTTCTCAAGTATGACGTTTTACGGTAAGAAGAGTCGTCATGGACTTTTGTTTCAAATGGCACTTCACGTTTTATTAAAATAATAGTAAGCCGACAGAATAGAGTGAACAAAGGTACAACGTAGTCAAAGGGACAACAGGTTCCCCTACACAGCAACTACGGCTATAAATGTTTTATGTCTTAGATAGCGTGTATTTTTTTAGTTATTTCACTGAGTGTCAATGACCATACAAAGACCATACAAAAACTTTATTAAATTTTAAATTTTTCTAAATGCATAAGTATGCATCGATTCACTTATTATATAAAACTTAAAAATAAAAAAAACAATAAATAGCTATAATTTTCAATAATCAATAATTATAGGAGATATGGTAATGGTATCTCATAAGATAGACTTTTTGATACCAAAGGTGATGCATCATCCTAAATTCAGAATCTTAAATAGACTTAGGTTAGCAGACTATAATTTGAATGGTGATGGTATGAAGGTAGATGTTCTGATTGGGGCTGATTTTTATCGGTCATTTGTTGAAGACAAGATCATTAGAGGATATAAAGATAGTCATCCAATTGCATTGAAATCTAAGCTGGGTTTTTAACTCAGTGGTCCTATTTACATTGATAAACTGAACAACAATGAATCAGGTTGTAATGTCAACACAACTCATGTCATGTTAGTTGATTCAACGAATTCAAAATCATTGGTGAAAGATTCCATGGCATTAATCTGGGGCATAGGAGAATTTGACGGTTCCAAATTTGATATCATTGACAATTTTCGACACACTATTAACTACAATGAGGCCCAAAAGCATTACAGTGTCCGACTACCATTTAAAGAAAATCACTTTCCTATTTGTGTTTTAGTTTATGCATTAACCGATTGAAATACTTGCAGAAAAGACTAAGCAAAGACAAAACACTCCTACAATCATATAACGACATTATGAAAGATCAACTTTTACAAGGAATTATTGAACCAGTACTTGATGAGGCAAAAGATCATGGACAGGTACATTATTTACCACATCGACCTGTTTTGAGAAGTGATAAAATTACTAGTAAAGTGAGAATTGTGTTTGACGCTAGTAGCGCAGCAGAGGGCCCATCATTAAATGAATGTCTTTCTGCAGGATCTTCATTGACAACTTCCCTCTATGGTGTTTTATTACGTTTTCGTTCTCAAAATATAGCTTACATAGATGATATAGAAAAAGCTTTTTTACAGATAGCATTAACACCCTTGGATCGTGATTATGTACGATTCTTATGGTTTAAAGATCTTAATGGCATTAATTCAAGTAACATTTATACAAAAGAAATAATTTCGTACAGACTTTGTAGAGTATTATTTGGTGTTACATCATCCCCGTTCCTTCTCTCTGCAACACTAAAAAAACATGCTGAGCGATACATAGACAGCGATCCAAATTTTGTTTATAAACTCATGAACTCATTACATGTAGATGACCTTAACGCAGGAGCTGATTCCATATATGCAGCATTCCAATTTTATCAAAAGTGTAAATATCACCTAAAAGAAGCAGGTTTCAATTTAATGAAATTTGAATCAAACTGTAAAGACTTGGAAAATTTAGTAAATGAACAAAACTTTAAATCTCACAACACTACTAAAGTATTAGGTTTGAATTGGAACAAGGAAAGAGACATTTTAACATTTGATCTAGCAAAAGTGTTAACTGAAACGAAAGCTAATCCAACAAAAAGAGATATACTTCGATTCATAGCTAGCATCTTCGATACACTTGGTATCATAAATCCAGTAGTAGTAAGTTTTTACTACTACTGGATTTATGATACCAAGTGTATCGAAGATCTTCTAAAGATCTTCTTTCAAGAAGTATGCTCAAGTAAGGTAGGATGGGATACTAAGCTAGAAGGTAATTTGTTGGTAGTGTGGAGAAACATTTTTAATGATTTCCATTCCGCTCAAAGCATCATTATTCCAAGGTGGTATATTAGTCATTGTGATAGTACAATCCTAGACATCTCATTACATGGGTTTAGTGACGCCAGTCTAGATGCTTACGGTTGCTGTATCTATTTACTATACTCTCTCCGTGGGCTCCATGTTGTATCTGCTTGGATACATTACAATCAGTTTGTATTTTAAAGGAAATCTCGTATTAAGAAATAATATATTTTAATACATTTACAAGTGACACACGTTTCTCAGACGCGGCTCTTTTCTTTTTTTTGAAATAAACATAGGACCTCGTGAATTAAAATATAACAAGAACCGTAAAAAGGTTTAACACGTGCGCGATCACGCGCGACATTCCCCACTTGTCTAATTATTTACAAAGAGTTTAATGTCATTTTCATCGCAGAACTTCACGTTAATTATTTTTTCGTTCGACATTCGAAGCGAACCTTCTAAAAAGTACAGCCTATTAATAGGTCTTTGAATGATAATTTCTTTTCCATTTCTAATATACTTAACTTCTGCTATTCGTATTTGATTATCATGTGATTTGATTAGTCTTTGAACAATTCCCGTTTTCCATAACCCTCGTTTAATATTAGGATCGTGTATTAATACCAAGTCGTTTATTGCAATTTGATTTGTTCCCTTTCCTTTAATATGTTTGTGATATTCTCTTAGCTTAATAACATATTCATCTCTCCATCGCTTCCAATAGTGATTTAGAATGTTACTAATGTATGCGCTGCGTGCATTTAAGTTATATTCTATATTGTCATCTTCAATTGCTAAAAAGTTTAATGTCCTCCCATATAATAAATGATTTGGCGTCAATGGGGTGTCTCCAGGTTTATTGTATGTAAATGTGATCGGACGATTGTTGACGACAGCTTCAACTTCGGCTAATATAGTTAAAAGCTCTTCATAGGTAAGGCGTGCATTTGCTATTACTTTGCGGAGACAGCGTTTTGTTGAAGCAACAAGTCTTTCGAAGTATCCTCCCCACCACGGTGCAGCGGGAGGGTTGAAATGCCATGATATTCCACGAGATGATATAAAGTCTTGAGTGACTTTAGAGATAAAATGTGAGCCATTGTCGGAAGTAATTTCACCAGGTGCTCCTCGTTTTGCTATAAACCGTCGTAAACTACGAACACAAGATTCAGCTGATGAATCAGGAACTAGATCTAAAAATAAAGAGCGTCTAGTACAACAGGGATATAAAAAAATCCAAGTTTTGAATAAATCATTGCTTTCATATATAGTTTTAATGTATAAAGAGCCTGCATTGTCCACACCTGTAAATTTAAAGGCATGGTCATCATTTAGTCTGCTTAATGGTAAAGGCGGTGCTCTGGGGTAAGAGTAAGGCAGCCCTTCAAAACGTTTGCATAAGTGACATTTCCGAATAAGTTTCTTGATGTAATTTCTCGCTTTCGGTACCCAAAACCTACTGCGTAGCTGGTTTAATGTTTTTTTTATACCGTTATGTATGACTATCGAGTGATGGTAGTAAATAACTAAATCAGTAAACTCTGAATCGCGTGGCAAGAAGATGGGGATAGATACTTCATTTCTGATGGCAACGTATGATATATAGCAACGTATAATACCATCAACTTCACGTAGATTTAGATTACGTTGGGTTTGTTTATAGTTCTTTGTACTGGTGATAGTTTGTTGGGTATATTGTATCCAAATTTTTAAAGCATAATCAATCTCTGAGGAATCTAGAGGAGATAGTTTTAAACTTTTTTTAGCTTTCTTCTTCTTGAGGTGTCTAATGAACCGTAATACTAAAGCTGTAACACGTAATAAAAGGGTATAGCTATTAAGCTTTTTAATGTCAACCATATTTAAATTATTAGAAGTGTCACTTGCAACAATATTAGTTAATATTTCTTCAACAATATTCAAAGGTTGATTTACTAGATCAAATTTTGGCCAATCATTGAGGTTGTTACATAGGAACAAAGGTCCATTAAACCAATGTTTACAATTTTGTAAATCTACTATGTCTGTACCTCTTGAAGCTATATCTGCTGGGTTATTACGAGAGTCTACATATTTCCAATGGGTAATATCAAAATCTTCTCGAATTTTACGTACACGTTTTTGTATAAAGGTACGATAAACTTTTTTAGTGTTATTTATCCAATGTAAAGCAATAGTGGAGTCAGCCCAACATATAATGTCTTTAAATGTAAAAATTGAGGAAAGTTCCTTAACGACAGTAGACATAGTTTCAGTTAATAACAAGGTTGCTCTTAACTCTAAGCGGGGAACAGTAGTTTTCTTTATTGGGGTAATTCTGGATTTTGCAGTAACAAGTGAACAATCAATTTTTGATTTTCAGGGATAAATATTGACCACACTTCGTTTAATTCAAAATTACCATGACGTTTCTGAATCGTCACAATTGTTCGGAGCATGGAATTATAACAATAAAATTCATTTATTTTCTGTTAAAATAATGAGTGATAAGTCTTATGTTTCCATATCTTATCTTGATCCGGAAACAGGAAATGTAATTGAAAGCATAGATGTAGAAGCTGATTGGATACTAAATGATCATATCAGCTGTGAAATTGTTTCAAGCTGTCTTATTTGTATTTCATCTAGAACAGAAGTTTTTGTTTTAAATTTAAAACCTGAAATATTATCTACTTTTTCAAAAAATAATTTAGACTTAAAAATTTTATAGAAGATAGTGAGTTTAAAAAAGTTGAAAATTTTCAAGAACAAATTGTTATCAGACGTAAAATAGAGTTGAATTAAATTAAATAGCAATTATTTTAAAATTTTAGTAAATTTCTTCAATTTTAGTTGCAATTTTATTACCAAATAATAAGTCATTCCCGGTGGGAAATCGGCTAGCGAATAGCTAGCTATATTCGTAACGATAAAGACAGCGATTTGGCCACGAGGATCGCTAGCTTTTTTAAGTAAGCGAAAAGCTATCGATATTTGTACAGATAAAGACAGCTATTTGGCTATGAGGACAGCTAGCTTAATAAGATAAGGATCCACTGGCTATTGTAGTGCCATATTGTAATAAAACCGTTGTCTAAAAATTTTTGATATGTAGCTATCAACCAGCTATAGGTTTGTAGATATTTTGTAGCCAGCTATAAAGCTACGATATTTAGCTAGCGACACATAGCTACAAAATCGCAATTTTTAAAGTTCAATTATCCTCATAATTATAATAGACTCAACAGTAAAAATCGAATTTTTTAAGATGTTAAAGATATTAGAAAAAAATAAATCGCTTCAAAATCGCTATAAAGCCAGCTAGTCGCTAGCTCATTTCCCACCGGGTTGTTGTTGCTAAACTTTTAACTAATCATTCAATGTTATTTTTCGAGTGTACATCAATTATAATAAATAAAAAATATGGTTCAAATATTTTTTATTTAGTTAACAAAAAACAAAAAAAGATGACACAATTTAATAAAAGACAATAAAAACCTCCAGATGTACAAAAAACTTGTACACTTAAAAAATTATGCTACACCTTCGGAAAGATGGGTAAATGGGGGTAGAGGGGAGGGGATAAGAGTTATGCATCCACCAAAATCTGAAAGTCCAAAAAAAGTTTAGAGATTGACTACCTTTTTTTTTTAATGGAGACGTAATTTGGAAACAAAATACAAAATTTTTTAAATTTTATCCCTTCCCTCACCAATAATTCCTGGATCCATCAGTGGTAAAAAATTTAAAGATTGTGGCTTGTTTTTAACCTGATTACAAAAATCTAATTTGCGACCAGGTTGTATTTTGTCAATACTGTAAATATATATATTTACAGTTTTTTTTTTGTGACCAAGCGTGGTTGCAAAATACAATTTTACGTGAAGAGTAAAAAGTCAGGATTTCAAAAATTTAATTCAAGGTTTTTAGACTTCAAAAAAGTTTAGCACAAAATTTTTTTACTGGTGATTAAAAATTTATTATTAGTTAAAAACGTAGTAGCAAAAATCTCATACTACGCCAGAATTTAATTGGTAAAACAAATTCTATAGAATATTAATTGGCTTGACTAATGCGTGATTTTTCAATTACGCTGAAAAAATTTTGTTTTTTAAAAACAAGTTTAATTTCCCTGAAAGTTTTTAATATAAGAAACATTAAATTCAATTCCACATCAAAATAAATAAATTTTACTAATTCCTAATGATGATTTAAGGAAGTTGTATTTTTCATTTTTTTTTTACAATAACTAACGATTAAAGCATAGTCATAAAATACATCTACAATCTGTTATGACTATTTATTATGTAAAATACAATTATTGTGTAAAATACAAATACAATCTGTTATTATGACTATGAATAAAGTGAAGAATTTAATTATGTGAAATTTTCAGCATGACGGAAAGGTCGGCAAAAGATCAAATTTTAATCAGAAACTGACAATTTAATTATTTATTATGACTTTTTTTTTTAATATTTATTTAGTTAAGGCATGGAAATAACTTTTTTTTAAATTTTTAACATTCAAGAAATAATTGCGTTCTTTTTTTTTTTGTTTTATATTTTAAACTGAATTCTTGGCTATTATTTTCCCAGTGGGCACCCGACGTCAATCCGACGTCGGATTTACGTACGATTTTCATCAGCGATGTCAAAAGACCTATTCCGACGTTGTTCCGATGTCAGTAAAATGACGTCGGGCGATGTCTTTATCTCAACATCCCCTGACGTCGTTTCGATGTATTTTGACGTTGTTCCAACATCTTGTAGAAGACGTCCAAAAAACGTCGCAGTACTGACATCGATCCAACGTCAATAAAAAGACGTCGGGCAACGTCATAATATTAACGTACTCTGATGTCTTTTGACGTCTTCCGACGTCAATCCAACGTCCTTAAAACGACGTCGGAACAACGTCGTAAAACATCGCTGATGAAAATTTAATCCAAACCCAACAATATGTGTGCAATTGCGCTCTTCAATAAATATGTGAACTAAGCGTGTTTTTTATTAATGGAAAGAAGTTTGAATAATGGTTGATAAAACATCATGAGGTTTTGTATGATGCACTAGCATAGTTTTTTAACTATTAACATTTTCGAGTATACATTTTTTATAATATATAACTATTCGTTTTAATATTTATATAATATTTAAACAAAATTATTTCTTATCAAAGAAATAATTCCCAAATAGCTACAAGTATAAATTACTAAATAAACGTATTATATAATATGTCCCTGTGGTGTAGTGGTAAGCGCGTAGCATATAGTTTCTAACAGACCGAGGTTCGATTCCTGCCTGAGGCAACGTTTTTTAGTTTTCAAAAAACACGTTGGATTTACATCGGAATGCCGACGTCGCGCGATGTCAGTTTATCCGACGTCAAATAACATTTCCATTTCCAACGTAAACCCAACGTCGATCCGACGTCGAGATCCGACGTCGCTCGACGTTCGTTCGACGTCGAAATGCCCACTGGGTTATGAAATTAATAGTTATATAAAAAAAAATATTTTTCATTAACGAGTTGACTAACTTCAAAACTAAACTAAGAAAAAACTACATTTAAGTTAAAACAGAAACTTGTAAATACTATGTGCAGATGTTTTTTTAACGCTTTTAAGTATTTAATAAGTGAATTAATAAATAAATTACCGACATAACTAAGGCATAAATTATTAACTAAAAAAACCGACAAACTAACATAACCTAAAGACATAAATAGAGCATAAATTATTAATTAAAATAAAAATTGTATTCATGTTTAAAAAAAAATGTTTTAGTACAAATATTGTTACTATATTAGGCTGTAACGAACATAGCTTTTGCAATTAAATGATTGAGTGACTCTTTTAAGTTGCTCATTTGTTTTTACAAAGCTACCAATCATTATACACTCCAAAAGGTTTGCACAAGATATTAAAGTTTGCACAAGATATTACTACTCGGATATGAGGTTGTGAGAAAAAAAGTGTTGCCTAATGACATGCTTTCTGAAGATGGACGGGAAATCTGAAAAAAGAGTTTGAACGTTTCCGTGAAACTACTCACGCAAATCCAGCCGTTCGAAAACAAACTATGATGTATTATGTCGACTTTTGTGCTCATCGGATTAATGATCAGATTGGGCACATCATATGATTTCTTATTTTATGCATGTATGTATGTTTTATAAACTGCTCATGTATTTCAAATTGTTATTGTTTTATTGCAGAATTTTTTGTTTTTATTATTAATGACCAAAATCTTTACCTAAAAATAATTACCTGTATATTAATATTTAATAGTTGTTTAAAAAAAGACGGTTTAAAATCTGTTAAAAATTTATTTCAATCTAGTTTTGTGTGTTAGAAAATTATTTAGCTGTTACTAAGAAAATTATTTAGCTGTTAGGCACCATAGGTTATCCATAGCAATTAAATAAAATAAATGACGACTTCAATATAAAGTGCGACCTCCTATTGGTACTCATACCGAATTTAGTGAATATAGCATTCGTAAAAAATCTGCAAATATCAAAATAGGTTGTTGCTATGGAAATAGGGATCTATAAAATTAGGTATCTATCACAAAAAAATTAAAAATATCCTCGTCATAAGAAAAGCAAACCTCATATTAATGCACAAACTAATCATAAAGTATATAACACACATAAAACTTTTGCAACTATCAAAAATAGGTTGTTGTTACGCAAAGTTAGGTATCCATAGCAACCAAATGTGAAAATACCACTTTTATTAGAAGCGCAAACCTTATATTAGTACTCATGCGAAATTTGATAGATAAAAACCTAATTTTTAGTTTAACTAAAAGTTAGGTTTTTATTTACTAAGTTTTCAAAGCAAAAGTGCCAATTGGTCTCCCAGCAGCTACTTTACAAGCTCCCTTGATCATGCATATGGAATATAAAGTAAGATTACCTGATCACGATATTGTCATTGCTCCATGCTATAAACTTATTCCATCAGTTATAAATTTTATTATATATATATATATATATATATATATATATATATATATATATATATATATATATATATATATATATATATATATATATATATATAATATATATATATATATATATATATATATATATATATATATATATCTAAATCCATAACTACTTTTTCATAATATAATGATTGGTATATATATATATATATATATATATATATATATATATATATATATATCTAAATCCATAATTACTTTTTCATAATATAATTGACAGTAATGTATATATAACTAAAGACTCTAGTC